CATCGCGATGGCTGTTTGCAATCCAGCATGGAGACGCGGCTCCGCTGCCTCCTCGTCCGCCAAACGGCCCGAAGTGAACTCCGAGCGCCCTCCCCGCCGCACGCCGGGACGCACCGGGGAGCGGGGAAGAAAACGCAAAAAAACTCCGCACACGCTCACGAGCCGCCCGGAGTCGGGCACACGCTCCTCCAGCGCCCCGCGCCCCCGCCTCCCTGCCCCCGCTCCGGCTCTCCGCTTACCTTTCTTTTGGGCATAGTTGCACCTTAATAGTTGATTGCAAAAGCTACGGGGAGAGAGAGATTTAAAAAACAAAAAACCACCCCCCCGAAATTAAAGACAAGCCTTCCCCCCTCCCGGAAAAAAAACCCCAAAAAACTGTTTCAACCGCTCTGCAAGAATAATACAAATAAAAAGAAGAAGTGCCAAGGGACCAAGAGTTAATTGCAGCAGAAACTGAACAAAAAAAAAAATCCCCCCCCCCTCTTTATTGCAAACAGTAAAATACACCAACACGCAACCAAACTGCATGAATGGGGAGCGCGAGACGGGTCCGGGCGGAGAGTGATGTGCGCGCCGGCCAATGGGAGGCTCGGGCGAGAGTGCGGGAGGCGGGCCGGGGAGGGGCGGCAGAGACGCTGGCTTTACGCTGTCTGCGCAGGGGACCGGCCTAGGGCGCGCGGTGAATACGGCTCGGCGGCCGAGCGGGGAAGAGAGTGCGATGGTGCCCTCCCTGCCTGTGCTGCTGTGGAGCCTGCCCGACACCCCCGTCGCTGCGAGGCTCCCTGGGGGGAGGGGGTTGCCAGGCTGGGCCCCCAGCCCCGAACGCCCCGGCGTACACGCAACTGCTCAGCCCCTGCAGCTGCAGAGCCCTCCTCCTTCTCGACATCCCCCCAGAGGCTGGGAAAGAAACTTCCCTGAAAGTTACCACAGGCAGCAGGACTGTGTCTGCTCTTCCCTGAGCCCGACAACATGGCTGCCTCGCCAGCTGCGCCTTCCCTCCCACAGCCGCAGCAGGGGCTGGAGCCCGGCAAGGGGCAGGGGCCCCGCTGCGGCCTGTGCGAGCCGTGGGGTTGCAGGGCCGCGCAGCGCGGGGAAGCCTGGGCCCGTCATTTCTAGACCGGGCTCGGCTGCCCCTGGCTCCCAGGGGGCTTCTGCTCCAGAGCTCCCGGGACAACGCAGCAGGGCTCCCCTGTGGGGTGAAATGTTGACAGCCTGGCTGTGCCACACGGCCGCTCCTATTTAATATTATTTATGGCAACAGAGCCCCCGTTAATGGCCTTTGCACATGGTACTTAACGGGATGTAGGAACCGCAATGCCAGCTGTGGCAACCGAATAATGTCATCTTGTTCTACCTGTTGGAAAGCATCACCCGGCATTGCTGTGTTATGCACTACAGCCTCTCCCCCAGGTATACTGCATATTTTTCAGGCTTGGCACCAGTCATGTTAGGAAGCTGGGAAGAAGGTGGTTCTAGTTTTGTTTGTTTGTTTTTAAATTGCATGTTAAATAGGCTTTGTGGATGTGAAAAAATTGCGTGTTAGGTTACTATGCACACTTGGAGTGGTGTTAGGTCCTTACACACAAGAAAAGTGGTTGTTTGCTTTAAGAAATATAAGATGTTTCTTAAATGCTGTAGTATGTGGTGTCATTACTTATCAGATATTCTGTCCGGTTTTTGTTTAAGAAATAGTTTGAGCAAGGTCAGAACTCAGGTCTCCTTGCCAGGCGAATGGCCTAACCACTAGCTTATAGAGTCATGCTGCCTCCTATGTACTGTCCTGCTTTCAAGCCCTATAAATCTTTTAATAGTTTTTGCACAGTTACAGAGCTTCAACAGGTTGGAATAGTCTCTACCCATGTGATTAGGGCAAAGATTGTGGGCAATCGAAGATGAGGGTTTGAATCCCGTCAGGCAGAGAAGGGACTTGAACTAAAAGAGTGGCCTGTGTCAGCTACAACTATGTTTTGCAAGGATCCAGTCCTGTTGGTATATGTTAACCATGATTTTAGATTGCCTACTAGACAGGCAGAGGAATACCTTGTTTTTGGCTTCTGTAGGGGCTTGGGTATAAGCAGTCAAGATTGAGGCAGTTTTAGGCTCATGCTGAGGCATAACTAGGTGTGGATTTTAAATGTAAAAAAGTAAGGTGTCCCTGAAGGTTGGGTGCATCCAGGATTAGGTGGCAACTGAGCAATGGTTTTTTGGATTGCAATTTTAGACCTATGCGCCTATATTTTGCCTAAACCTAAGTCCTTTATTAGATCTGGCCCTGAATGTTTAAGGATGTTTAAAGTCCTGGGGTCACATATCTAATATAGGCCAGTACTGTGATTAAATAGGATTTACTGTTGGTTCCATCATCATTCAGTTCAGGAATTATGCACCCTTTCTGTACCTTGTATCTTTCCTTCAATAGTAGAAACACATAATTAGGACCTGAGGATCAATGGAGAATCCTTGTCAATCATGAACACTGCAACAGAGGCCTAAAATATATGAGGTCCTCTGAATATCAGAATCAACACTGAAACTACCTTGTACACATTATAATAATATCAAACTGAGACCTGAGGCCCTGTGAATGTTGTGGAATGGACAAAATACTGTAGCTGGTGGGAGAACTGCTACCCTTCACTTAAATAGGTAAAAAGCAGTTAATGTTCTTCTGTGAAACAACAGTAGCCTCCAAGTCAAGTCACATGTCACCACCCAAGGAATAGGAAAGGCCACTCAGGAATTTGACGTTTGTGAGTAAAGAGGCATTGCTGATTGTTATTTTTTGGTACTGATGTGGGTGAGGAAAGAGGGTCAGGAGAACTGCAGAAACATACATAGGAAAAAATTAAGGGAGCGCCTGATGTAGGAGCATGCACTTGGGAGTAAAAGTCTAAACAAAAGAGAGTTTTGGGTATAGTGCAATCTGAAAATGGCTTTGAAATTAAACCAAAAAGGTACCTTTTGGTCACAGAATCATAGTCGTGTACAGCCAGGAGGGACTTCAAGAGATCAGGCAATCCATTCCCTGCTCTGAGTTAGAATTGGTGTATATGGACTGTCCTTGGCAGATACTTGTCTAACTTGTTCTTGTAAACCTCCAACAAAGGAGATTCCAAAACCTTACCAGGTAGCCTGTTTCTGTTTGAAAGCTTTTTCTAATATCTAACTTTTGTCTTTGATGCAAATTAAACCAATATCTCCTTGTCCTTCCTCCAGTGGACATGGGGAGCAATTAATCACTGTCCTCTTTATAACTTTTTTTTACTTACAGGAAGACTCTTATTGTTTCCTCCCCTTTTATTCTCTTTTCTACATTAAACAAAACTAGTGCCTTCACTCTTTTTTTTTTCCATAGATCGTATTTTTTTTTTTAATCTTCTTGTTCACCTCTAGATTCTTTCCAAGTTCTTTCTATATTTTTCGTCTGGTGCCCAAACCAGATACAATGCTGAAGATTCACCAGCATCAAACAAACCAGAATAATTACCTTACACATCTTGTATATCATGCCTGTTTGTACATCCAAGAATGCAATTTCCCTGCTTTCTGCAACATCATCACGTTGTTGATTCATCCTCAGTGTGGCCCCACTCTAAGCCCTAGATCCTTTTCTGCAATACTGCAGCACCAGCGGTTCTTAACCTTTTCAGACTTGAGGCACCCCCTGATAGAGTCAAGGCATTCCTCCTTAGACTCAAGTCACCCCTAGGAAAATGCCAGCTCTTAGTTTTCGCTTGTTTTTTTTTACTACAGATAGAAATTAGAGCAATTTCTTCTGATGCAAAGAACTCCGAAAGACCACAGCAGAGCAGAATATTTTAACATTGTGGATTCCTTGAAATAAAGCTTTGTGTCTTGTGAATCATGTTTGCACACCTAACACTATGTGGCACCCTGCAGTGCCCCTGGAAGGATCTCAGCATCCTGGTTGAGAATCGGTGGACCTAGACAGTTTTTCCTATGTTCTTTTCCATTCCATTTAACTGTTCTTATAATCTTATCATGATTTAGGTGCTTATAAATTGGTAGTTTAATAGTTTGTTCTAGTATCTTTCTGGCTCTTGAAGTCAGACTAACTTGTCTATAGTTCTCTGGGTCTTCCAATTTTCTTTTTTTCAATAAAGGTGTTATGTTTGGCTTTCTCTAGGCCTCTGGGATATCTTGCCTCCTCTATGAGTTCTTGAAGATAACTGATAATATTTCAGAGATTACTTTGACTGGTTCCATAAGTATTCTAAGTCAAATTCCATCATGCCCTGCCAACTTGAATAATTCTCATTTATGTAAATATTAACCTGCTTTTTTTTCCCTATTCTGGTCTGCACTCCTGTTCCTTTGCTAAAATTAATTGCATTAACTGCCTACTCATAATTATTTTTTTTAAAGACTGAAGCAAAGAATTTAACATTTCAGGCTTCCTTTTGTCATTCAATATTTGTTCTTCTCCATTAAGTAATGGAATTAGACATTCCTTTGTCTTCCTCTTTCTTTGATTTAGTCATAGAACATGGTGCATGCCCCTTGCTAGTTGTAACTCATTTTGTACAGTATCTAACCTTTTCTAATTTTATCCCTGCATGCTTGTGCTATTCCTTTATACTTTAGTTATGTATCCTTGTTTCTACTTTCTGCACAATTGATTTTTTTTATTTTTCAGGTTCTAGAAGAGCTCGTGGTGCAGCCATACTTGTATCCTATGCTTTAAATCTTTTCCACATTGGGATAATTTGCTATTGTGGCTTTCATATAATCTCTTTAAGTAACTGCCTGTTATACATTTGTTCATTCCATATTTTATCTTCTCAACCAGTTGCCAGAGCTGAAGCCCATCATTCTTGTTCTGATGCTCTGAATTATTCCTTTTCTTGAAATGGTGAACTCATTTTTGATCACATTCATCCAAATTACCTTCCATCAAATTATTTTCAACAAGTTCATCTCTCTTGGAGGCAATTACATCTAAAATAGCTGCTCCCCCAGTAACTTTCTTTACCTTCTGAAACAGTGTTTTTTTTTTAAAGAGTTGGATCAATAGTCTATCATACAGTATTGCTTTTCCAACTGATATTCAAGTAATTAAAGTCCCCCATTACAAAAGGTCCTGTCCTTTGGAGGCTTCTGTTAGTTGTTCCAAAAAGGCTCCTGCTTCTCCTGGTTACTGTTTGATTCTTCCTTTGTTCAGAGAAAGAGGACTTTGTAAATAAAAGGACCGCATAAAAGGGGCAGTGGGTTTCATCACCACTTTCTCCTAGCTGGAACAACCTGCAAGATCATTTTTTGGCTAACTACTTGAATCAAAAGGAAGTACAATATCTTCATGTAGCTGACTCTTTAAACTATATATTAAAGTGTAATACCACAACTAAATTTTATGTTATGTTTGCTTTCCCTTTCCTTGATGCCTTTGTATTTTTACAAAATCTTCTGACCCCTCTAAAAATGTTCATTAAACAAGAAATTTCCCTTAATAATCATTAGATTACCCTATTGAAAGAGAAGCAAACTTTTGTATTATTATGCTGAGAAGTGTTAGTGGCTACCATTAAGCAGGTCCTTGATCTATAGATGATTACAGACCTCATTAAAGCTGATGGATATGCTAAGTACCCTTCCTTCAGGCTAAATGGAGGG